CATAAGCATCTCTCCAGAATGTTTAGATCAAGTTTCTGTCTTGTAATCTCCTTTGCCATTAATCCACATTAAATTTTTTAAAAATGTTCAAATATGTTTAGACTTTCTCCAGGGTAAGTGTATCTGGCTGGACCTCCATTAGAGCCAATGGGGCAGCATTGTTGCATCAACCTAGTCCAGAATTGTGCGTCCTCAGCTGTAAATGTCTAATCACTTGGGCACTTGGTCTTGCACTGAATGCATCAGTCCTAATCAAATCATGGACTATGGAATTGTGTAGGTAAAACAAGCAAACAAACAAAAAACCAAGAGACTGGTTATATATAACCAACATACCCATATTGACTTATAATAAAAAGTGGCTTCAAAGGGGACCAAGTTCTAGTTTCCTTCAGCAGCTCATTTTATCTATGTCAACAAGCTGTGTGTTAGCCAGATTATAAAAAGAGATTTGCTTGGTGGAAGTAGGTTCAGAACAAGGTAATTCTGTTATTTAATTGTTTAATATCATTAGGTTTTTTTGTTTGTTTGTTTGTTTTTTTATTTATTTAATATCATTAGGTTTTATAAAGACAGTGCTGCATAGTGTTGAGTGGTGGCTCAAGTTTACAAAGGAAATATATTGGATGGTGAAGAGTATGGGATCTAGGGCCAGACTGCCTGGATGAACAGCTCAAGTCTCCATTAAATTTGTCTGTAATCTTACACAAGATGTCTGGGTGTTTCAGTCACCATGGTTGCATAATAGATACCACCAAACTTTATGGCTCATGATTCTATGTGTCAGAAATTTGGACAGGACACAGCAGAGCCTGCTTGTCTCTTATCTCACACTTTCTGAACCATCAGCTGCGTGACTCAGAAGCTAGGGATTGGAATTGTCTTCAAATGACTCATTTATTCATGAGTGATGCTGACTGTTCTCTGCCACCTGAGGTAGGATTGTTTGCTGGAACACTTACACATAACTTCTCCATAAGGTCTGGATTCCTTGTAATATGGTACCTGGTTCTAAGGATGAATGTCCCCAAAGAGAGGGCCAGGCAGAAGTTGATTGGTTTGTTTGTCTTTAAATAAACTGGTTTCTGGGGCACCTGGGTGGCTCAGTGGGTTAAGCCTCTGCCTTCAGCTCAGGTCATGATCTCAGGGTCCTGGGATCGAGCCCCGCATCAGGCTCGATCTCAGGGTCCTGGGATCGAGCCCCGCATCAGGCTCTCTGCTCAGCGGGGAACCTGCTTCCCACTCTCCCTCTGTCTACCTCTCTGCCTACTTGTGATATCTCTCTGTCAAATAAATAAACTCTGTAAAATAAATAAATAAAGAAAGAAAGAAAGAAAGAAATTGGCTTCTTTAAAATCAGATTTTTAAATAAACTTGCCTGGAAAGTTACATAGTATCCTTTCCACCATACTCTTTTGGCTGGTGAAACCACAAGTCTATTCAGGTACAAGGGGGAAGAGAAAAACATTATGCTTCTCCATAGGAAGTAACAAGATCTGAAACAACATGTGGAATGAAAGTACTTCTGTTGTCTTTTTTTGGAAAGTACAATTTGCCTTACCTGACTTTTCTTGCCTTCGTTTCTCTGTAAAATGAGGATAATGATGTAACTGAGATTATTGCTTTTGTCTTAATTCTTTCCATTGTGTGTGGAATTCATAAGTCCACATTCAACTTCGGCCCTATTTCTGAGTTCTTATCTCTGTGTCACAGGGCAAAACATAAAGAGATGAGCTACCGTTTTGTAGAAAAAGAACCCAGTCCTTTAATTATAATTCCCTATTCTTTATTTGCCCCATGTGAGAGGGAAAGACTGAGAAAAATAAACTGAAATGGAGGAAAAGTCCAAGATGAAATCCATGGTTTAAAAAATAAGAAAGGTCAAGTGAAGAAGAAAATGGAGAACCTACCATTTGTATATCTTGGGGTCTCAATCTGCCTTCAATTTTCAGCATTTTTGGTGACAGAAGGAGAAGCCAGTTCTTTCTTTAGGTATGGTTTCTCAGTACTTGCGGTATCATGGGCCAATTAGGTAACCCCAGAAAAATGTTATGTTTCAAGGGGTTCCATACCTTGTGAAAGTCAATGTCACACCCAGGAAAAAAAACTCTTGCTAAGGCTGGACATGTGCTATATCCTTAGAATAATGTTCAGTGCAAAAATATACTGTGTAAGTGCTCTTTATATACTTCTTTCAAATCTTTACTTCTCAAGTAGTATAATACCAAGTAATATATATTCTACATTCTAATTATATATTTGTGTGATTTTTTTAAGATTTTATTTATTTGACAGACAGAGATTATAAGTAGGTGGAGAGGCAGACAGAGAGAGAGAGAGAGGAGGAAGCAGGCTCTCTGTTGAGAAGAGAGCCCCATGTGGGGCTCCATCCCGGGACCCTGGGATCATGACCTGAGCAGAAGGCACAGGCTTTAACCCACTGAGTCACCCAGGTGCCCCTCTGTGATTTATAATACAAGTCTTTACCACAAGACTACGAATTTCGGAGATTCACTATTATATTCTAGAGCTTGGCATATAGTAGTTATTAAATTCCAAGTTTTGAATAAGTAATTAATGAAAATGAATGAATGAGTGAATGAAATAACACTGTAAACTCAAAACACAATTATTTTAACATACAGAGATAGCAATCAAATTTTTCTTTAATGGTTTTAGGAACAAATTTTTTTTCAAGTTTACATTTAGCCAAGACCTTAAGAAAAAGATTTTATTGATAAGATTCAGCTGGATTTGAATTTAAAAGCATGTAGAAGTCATCTTATTCTCTTGTTAGTTTCTGCTTTCTTCTTATCTTTGATTATATTTCTGACCCCAACTTTTGTGCCCTTGTTAAATATCTCCTACTGTTAATCTTTTATAAGTTCTTCAACTCCAGTAGTAGTAACATTATTTCCCCTGGACATATTTCCACCAGTATCATTCCCTCTTTGTTTCACTCACATGTAATAATACTATTGTTAAAATTAAGTCAAAGTTGTAAAGTTAAGCATAAAAATATTTCCAAAGAGTATCAGTAGAATACCATTATTTAAAATTTTTATAAACCTGAAACTTCATTGGACATTTGAAGGTCACTGACTTTCAGGAATAGGTAGTAAATTGGCAAATCCTTCTATAAATTCATTATTGAGAAATGATAATGTAAAATATCATGACTGATGTAACAATGTTTTGAAGATTCATTGACAACTGCACAATTTGATTTCTTGGTATCTAATTATGGCATACAAAGCAGTAAGAATTGGTGTCATACAGAAATTGAAGGTATATGTATTTGCAAAGCTGCATTTTACACAGTGAGCAAACCATAAAGTACCAAATACATCCTCACTAAAGTTCCATTAAATAGGTTTAATGCAAATCCCACAATTTTCTTACCACTTCTCTCAAATGCAATGTTTACAGTAGCCATCTAGGGCTTGAAAGAAATCTGAGTAGAATACCTTAGGTATCAGGGCTGTGCTTATGTTAAATCAAACAAACAAAAATAACTCAAAATGATTCCTCCTCCTACCTTCAGTAGAACATTTATCAAAGATCCAACTGAATCACTTGAGGCTTAGATTTTAGTAACTGTTAAGATATCAAAAAGAACTGCAACACTTTTCTTCACAAGTAGCTCCACCAAAGCAAAATACTCATAGATATTTGTCCCCCTACCAAAAGATAATTCTATGTGATTTTAGGTAAGTTTATTAGATAAAGATTTCTAAAGTTTGAAATTACTGTGCCAGAATTATGACAAGGACATTTAAAATGAGTTCTCAGTTCATCATTTTGACTTTTTGAAGAACAGCTATGACATAGTATTCATCATTAGGGATCAATATGGATACCAGGCTTTTATGAGAAATATGTTTGTTGACCTTAATAAATCTTCAAGTGTGTAAATACAAAAATATTTGTATAGGCAATTTTCTGCTGAATTACATTTCATCTATGCACATTCTCATACTACAATATATTTTTAAGCAATTTATTCTAAAGGCTTGATATGGCAGTTTTCACAAAGAAATATTTTTAATTGCTTCACAATGGTGATTTTTATATCTAGTTATGTAATCACCATTATCATCATTATGATTAATCCACATTTATGTGTTTTGCAAACTTTTTGCTACTATGAATAAAGTTTTAGTGAATAACACCTTTTGCTTAGAATAAATTTTCCATAAAATGAACTATTAGATTAACAGGTTTGAAAACATTTAAGGCTGTTGATAAATTCTGTATTTTTTGAAGCACCAGTGAAAACTGTATGTGATACAAACGTTAAAAAGAATCAGCAACTGGACTGAATTCACACATCTAGTTCAAAATGATAGGTAGCTGCTAATTTTCCAATTGGTAATACTACAAAAGTTATATTCTAAGGGACTTGTATTAGATTTAATAAATTTGTTTAGTCATGAGGGGGTGTTATAAAGTTCTCAACTGCTCACAGATTTAACTTTTAATATAGCTAACATATAGTAGGATCAAATAATCGCTCTCATTGTACTTCTAAATGTTGTATTCCTTGTCTTTTATCCTTTAATTCTCTATGTTTTCAGTGAGTGCCACCACCCTGAACCTCTTGGAGATAGAATTCTAAGCTTCTAAGTGTCTTCTACCTATTTGAGCATTGGAGTTTGGGGAAAGGAATGGGGGTTGTAAACTGGAAGAAGTCTCATAGGAAGCTGAGTAGAGCATCTCAGGACTGAGTACTTCCCAAGGCGTTGTGGAGGGAAGTCTGGGAAAGAGGGAGAACAAAAGTCAGAGACACTCTGACAAATCAATGTTCAAAAAAGAAAGAAAAGAAATGGGTGCATCAAGAAAGAAAATTATTAAATCCAAGGAGGATATTGGTATCAGAGGAAGCACCTTTTTTACTTTATTTTTCTATAATATGTAATATAATATTTGTAGATAATTCAAATGATGTTGAAAAAATTCAAGGAAATTAAAATGATTTTAAATATATATTCATCTTCTAGAAAATACAAGATGATTCTCTAGAAGAAAATCTACGTTTAGCTCAAGAATATCAAAAATTACAGACTACTTTCTTAACAGAAAAGGACAATTATTTCAATCTATATGATAGACAGTTATCACTTGATGCTTCAATTCGAGATAAGAAACAGGTAGGTTTTCTTAATTTTTTAAAATGATTTACTTGACACATGTACTACAGAAAGTAACAAGTGTCCAGTCATGGGCTCTTCAATCTGATGGTGGTTCTTTATATGCCACAAAATGTCATGTTTTCTTCTTGTAGAATTTTGTTGTATGTTTTTATCAACTTTGAAACTCAATTTTGAATAGATATGTGAGAAATGAAGAAACTTAGTGTCTAAGCCACAATTTTATACTAATTTGCTTTTTTATGATCTGGAATACCAAATTTTTAGAGTTTATAGATTTTAGATGTATTATCATAGGCTTCTAATTTCATTTTTATCTACAGATAGCTTTTCAGAATATGCCTCAAAATCTTCTTCATGTTGTATGGCCTCCAAATGTTGGTTTCTATTTTCTTAACAAATATATGAGTCTTAATTAGAACATTGAAGAATAGTTGACCCTTTGTAGTTACAGGAAATCAGTAGAAATTCTCATATATTTTATAAAGTCTTCTGTAAAATCCACTTCCTCTGTATTCTTCTCCAGGTACTCATTGACACGAAAAATCATTTTCCTTTGAATTTTTGTTTCTTCACAGAATCTAAATTTTGAAATATAGAGGCATGATTATTTTTTTAACAATCCACCTAGTCCTAAGAAACAGTAGACTGTTAATGAACCCTTTCTCCTATTGTTGTCACCCATTCTAATCTACTATAAATTAGTAGTTTAATATTCCAGTACTGTACTTACCCCTCCTTATTGTGGAATATTGGGAAGACAGAAGGCCAGGATTTTAGTGCAGTCTCTACCACTTACTAGCTCCGTGATCTTGGCAAATTATTTGTCCTTTCTGACCTCAGTTTTCTCCTCTGTAAAATAAGATTTACCTCAGAGGAAACCTGATAAGGAATAAAAAGGAGACATCCATAGTTATTTTGAAAATGAAAGGATACTATGCAACTGTAACTATTACATTCATCTGGTATGCTGCTTATAAACTCCCTTATGTTTCCCATCCATCTATTCTGGTGTGAGTTAAAGTTTCTGAATACATTGAAAGAGAGAGTGTGTATTTTTCTCTTAAAAATTAGTAGCAAGATCGGGGTAGATTAAGAAATTAATGTGTTTGTGAAAGAATTGATAATAAATCTATATCCCCAAATCTTAGTGTCCTCAGACCATGTGCAGGATTCAAAGAAAGGACATCAATGGAACATTTGTCCAATCATTTCATGCATTTGACATTGTTATTGAGGTTAAACATGTTCTATTTGTTCCTGATAATTGAGGAGGAGAAAATAATCAATGGCTATACTGTATTTCCTTTTCTAACCAGGAGGGAAACAAAAATAAATTTTATGGGTACTTGTTATCAGTTTATATAGAATCCTTTGGTGGCAAATGGAAAATAGATACCTGCATAAATGTGAAGAAATCATGCCTTTCAGAGAGATCCGTCACTCTGTATTTCCATAGTAAGAATAAAATTGTCTTGATGTTGTAATTAAAGCAAATTGTGATTCAAGATTCAAGGAGTTAGACCCTGGTATGAACAGACAGTGAGGTATGCTAGGAGACCGAGTTTATATTTGTGATGATCTCTCAAACGAATCACTTTTAACACACCTGTTTCAGGGAAACTTTCCAAGATTTATTTGTACTTCCAGTCATTTTTCATTTCCATCCTTCAGCGATGGAGGTCATTAAGTGCAGGCTGCCCTTGTCAGTGTCATGTAGGATCAATTTGCTGCAATGGACAGAGAGGCCTTATTGATGCTGTTAAATCTGTCAGTGAGAAATCGTATGTCATTAGCGTCTAAGGCACTGCTTACAGGATGGAATTTGGCCATCAAAACGGAATAAAACCCTTTAATATTTTAGTCCATTTCTTTGATATTGCAGCATTTGCCGTATTACATATATGTATGTTTTAGTCCTTTGACCAGTTTAGTTTTGGGTATACAAAAGCACTATTCGACCTCTGATTCCCTTACTTAATTTCCTTATATAAAACGGATCTCACATTAAGGAATTTTGTGTATTATTTTCCTGTTCTATAATAACTTCATTGCTTCTGAGCATAGATTCCTTTTGGCATGGTAAATAATTACATTTTGATTTCGGTGCTTCTTATGGAGTATTATTCTCTCTATGCAAATAATACATTTCCATACTTCTTTCTATTTTTAGGCCAAAAGTAGTTAAAAAAAAAAAAAAGCTTAATGGAGGAATAAAACAAGTTAAATACAAAAAATAATGTCCCTTTCCTTAACACAATTTTATATACAGATGGTTCAAATATTAGAATCATATAGTATTAAAAAGATTTTTTTCAAAAAGAATCATATAGTATTACTCTTGGTGATAAAATTCTATCTCCTTCCTTTGCACATGTTTCTTGATACTTTCCTGTGCTTTAAATTTTTGCAGTGATGAATATTTTCCCCTTCAAAAATCAGAAACAAACAAAAATGACTGTTCAAAATTCCTGTCTTCCCTGTTCATGGGTAATGATGGAATAGAATCCAATCTAAGACTTTTCAGATCTCAAAATTTAAAATAACACTAAAGGGGAATAAAAGAAAAATATCTGAAAAACAGGTTGTACTTCTATGTAAAAATAGACATTTTCATTGAAAGATTTCAAAAAAGATTTTCATTTTTTGGAAGTCCATGAATATATTGATAAAATCATGTGTTTGTTTTAATTGCTATCTCAAATTCTTCAAGTCTGCAAAGAAAGGTAAGCTAAGCAAGCATGCAAATGTTGATGTGTTCTCTTGGCTGAAAACATGATCCCTTTTGAAACTGGTTAAAGTATATTTTTAATTCTATTGTAAACCACTTTTGAAGCTTAACTTTTACCTACTCCAGTTCTTGGTAGTTTCAGAGTGAGGGAATACAAATTATTATAGAATCAGTCATCACTTGACAACCACTTATATGGACCTGGTATCTGTGCCAAGCCATTTGTAAATACTATCTTCGTAATGTCCATTAGTAATCCTCTAAAATTTTTTATTATTATTATTATAATCATCTCCAGTTTAAGATACGGAACTGAGATTGAGTGTGTCACAAGGTCATCCAGGTAGAGGGAACTAAGATAGGAATCAAATACAGGATTTTTAAAAATCCAACTCATTTCATAACCATGACACTACCCTTATACTGTAGCATTATTAAACAATCCTATATTGTCTCACCAGGCTTTATAAAGCATGTAAAAACTGTATCAGTCATGCATTATGTTGCTAGTGTCCAACTGAAATGGATTATTTGATTCACTAATTATTTTTATAATTTTATCTCATTGAAGCCAATTTTTCAATAATGATTTTTTTGTGGGGAAAGGACTACCATCTATTTAATTAGAAATTATTTAAATTTCATAGGGATTATGGATAAGTTTTGCAGTTCTAAAATTGTAAAATTTTTGAACTGGAGATACCTTTAGAAATTTTACCCATCTCTTTAAAATTAAAAATTATTTCTCTCTCTCTCACACACACACACACACACACACACACACACACAAACTCACACACAAAATAAAAAGTAAAAGTAAAATAACAGATTATTTCATAACTGAGGAACCTTAGGGCCAGAGTGGCCCAGTGATCTACTACATACACAGTTAATTAGAAAAAAAGTTGGCCTAAGACTGTTGTCTTAACTTACGTTCAAATATTCTCTCCAACCATCTGTAAAATGAGCGTGTGCTGTGATATTTTTTGAAGGCTTGAGTGAACCAGTAGTTGAAAAGTAGTAAGAGTAACCCGCAATGGATATGCTCAGATTGGAGAATCTTCTTTAAGCAACCTGGGCTTATTAAAGAATCATGGAGGGACATAAGTCAGAGACTACTTTGGAGCTCTAGGGGATACTTCTGGGTCTCACAGAATTCAAACAGTATTCATTCATTCATTCATTCAAATAAATTGTTAATCATCCAGTGTACTGACGTCCATTGTTTTGATACAATTAAAGGGACAGGAATACGCCACCTCAACTCACCTTCCATGCCAAATACTGTGATTCCCAGAAATCAAGGGATTTTTTTTCCTAGACTAGAGCATAGAAACAGAGGTCAACAATATCCTTTTACCCCACCAATGGAAGAATCATGGATTTTTGCTGTCTAATCTGCATCACCTAGGTTTCATTAGACAAAGTTTGCATTTTAAATTCTCAAAAAGGTTGTATCATCCGTAGACTTCATTAGCATGTTTTCTCTTCCCCTTTTCCGGTTTTCCTGGAATACTCCCTTTACAATGATTTGATGAGGAGTCAAAGTCAATTCTAGCAATAAATAAAATTATTTTCCTAAAGAAATGTGAAAGTAGTTTAGGTTCTCTTTTTCATGAGTACTTTATATTGCTTGTTATCTTGCATATATTAAAATTAGGCTTCAAGTAGTGATTTTTGAGTGCTTGTTTCTGTCTAGATGGAAATTCATTTCTTTCCTAGGAAAATCGTAACTCTTAATTAGTTTTACCACATGCACACACACATGCACACCCCCCACACACTTGTTCAAAAGGAGTTGCTGCACTTTATAGACTGATAAGCTTGCATTAAATTTCTACTGGCGCTTTTCCCTGAAGAACTCTCAAGAGATCTCTGAAGAGCTTTTGTGATCCTAGACAAGAGTAGACAGCTGGTCATCTATTGTTCTGACCCTTCTGTTGTCCAAACTCTGTGAGAAAAACACCAAAACTTATGTGTTTATTTCTGGCTAATACTTTTAGAAAGGTCAGCTTGGTTTAAATCAAACCAGCTCTTCAGTCTAGTACCAGTTTTAAGGGAATTGTAGATTTATGTATTTTTAAGCAATTTTAAGAAGGTTATCTAGTGGAGATGTACAGCAATAAGCAGCTTTTTAATGTTAGTGAAATGTTAGTGAAAGCCTGATCTATCAAAGACACTCATAGTAAATTTTCATATGTATAGTCGACCATTGAACAACACTGGTTTGAACTGCATTGGACCACATGTATATATACACAAACATACA